GGAGGCTGAGGCAGGAGACTCTCTTGAGCCCAGGAGTTGGAGGTTGCTGTGAGTTGAGATGCCATAGCACTCTACCCAGGGGGACAGCTTGAGGCTCCTGTCTGAAAATAAATAAATAAAATAAAATAAGAAATGAGGGGAAAGTAGCCAGAGCAGATTCTCCCTAAGACGGCTTATCTGGGAGCAGGAGAAGGCAGAGGGATATGGGCCTGGGGGGACATCAGAGGGGTGACGAGAAGACCTAGGGCAAGGTGTTAGATCTCAGTCCCACCCGTGTCAGACCCCAGCACGGGGAGAAGCCCTCAGTGGTACTTGCACCAAGGTCCCTGCAGGACAGATGGTATCTCTGGATATGAAGCAGGTTCCCAGTGAGAACCCTTCCTCCGTGAGATGGCCCCATGAACGTGAGGCCACATAGCAAGCTCAGAAAAGCAACATCTGTACAGGCACATCTTCTGCAAATCTGCCTCCAGCTGCCAGGCCCCACCCTGCTTCCCACGTACACTCACACCTCTAACTGGGGAAAAGCAGAACTGCAAAAATGCTAAAATCATTTCCCTCCCCAGATGAGAAGGCCTGGGAGATTTGACTGGGGACACACAGTTGTTGCTGAAATCAACCTCACTTTCCAACACTAAGCACATAGAGACAACTCCTTTACGTGGAGAAAAACCATGGGACCAATTAAAAGATATTTTTAAAGACAAAAGAAAATCCAGGACAAAAATGTTCCCTTCTGGAAGTGTTACTTCAAGCTCATCAGGAAGTCGTAGGCATCTCTAATTTGTATCCTCTATAGAGTCAAGGGCACGTGGCAACCTAGACATTGAAGAAGGCAGAGTGGAAACAGGGAGCTATCGGGGCAGGAAGAGTGTTCACACATTGCACTGGACTGAATGTGTCCCCCCTAATCCATATGTTGAAATCCTGCCCCCAAAAGTGATGACAGTAGGGCATGGGGCCTTTGGGAGGTGATTAGGTCACGAGGTTGGAGCTTTCATGAATTGTACCAGGGTCCTGATAAAAAAGACCCTTAGAAGGACTTCTGGTCTGGAAGGTGGGATGCAGTGGCTCACGCCTATGATCCTAGAACTCTGGGAGGCCGACGCAGGTAGATTGCCTGAGCTCAGCCTGCGCAAAAGTGAGATGCTGTCTCTACTAAAAGTAGAAAAAATTAACCAGGCATTGTGGTGGGCATCTATAGTCCCAGGTACTCTGGAGGCTGAGGCAAGGAGATCACTTGAGCCCAAGAGTTTGAGGTTGTTGTGAGCTATGACACCAGAGCAGTCTCCCCAGGGTGACAGAGTGAGACTCTGTCTCAAAAAAAAGAAAAGGGGGGGGGGGCGGCACTCATAGCTCAGTGAGTAGGGTGCCAGCCACATACACTAAGGCTGGTGGGTTCAAACTGGTCTGGGCCAGCTAAAACAACAACGGCAGCTGCAACAATAATAACAAAAAGAGCCGGGTGTTGTGGCAGGCACCTATGGTCTCAGCTACTTGGGAGGCTGAGGCAAGAGAATCACTTAAGCCCAAGAGTTTGAGATTGCTGTGAGCTGTGACGCCATAGCACTCTAATCAGGGTGACAGTTTGAGACTGTCTCAAAAAAAAAAAAAAGACCCTAGAGCATTCTCTTACCCTCTTCTTTCCACCATGTGAGGACACAGAGAGAAGTTGGCAGGCTGACAGTGGGAAGAGGTCCTTCTCCAGAACCTGACCATGCTGCCACCCTGGTCTCAGGCTTCCAGCCTCCAAAACTGTGAGCAATAACTCTCTGCTGCTTAAAAACTTCCCAGTCCAGGGTAACCTGTTACAGCTACCCAAACTCACTTGTTTGGGAAACAGGTGAAAGACACAAAGCCTACAACTAGAAATGCAGCAGTGATAGGTAACACGGCCAACGCTGACTAGGGCAAGGGTGACACAGGAGACGGTTCCCAGAGTTGGACAGAGACAGGGATGACACAGAAAGGAGGGCAGCCGGGTGCACCAGTCCAGGAGCCCAGACCTGCTAGGCGGGGACTTCCAAAACGAGAAGCAGAGCAGATGCTCGATTGTGTCAAGGCAGGAAGTCACTGGTGTTTTCTTTTTCATACTTTTTGCTTTGTTTTCTTTTCTTTCGGATTACATGGAATGTGCTACTTAAAAACTCAAGAAACCACGATCTACAAAAAGCACACAGTTCACGCAAGGAAATTTCTTATTTGTCTTCTAAAAGAGAACATCTTATAGAACCAAGGAAGGACCCCAGCCAGAAAGGAACCTGCATGGCGGTGATTTAAAGCCAGGGTGCACATTATCTGGAGGAGAAACCCCTTGACAGCGGTGCTTGTTTGCATCTGGGCTCCCTTCTCATCTGGAAAAGCTGAAGTGGTTCCACTGTCTGTGAGCAGGCTTGGACTCGGGCCACCTGTGACTTCCCTCATCTCGTTGATGGGGGCTCCCTGCCCGGAAGATCCAACCTTGTTTAATTCTGGAACCATCCTGCATAACCACAGCTACTGCTTGGAGTCTGGGGCTGTGAGCTCATGTAGCTAGAGAGGAAAAGGTCAGATTTTTTTTTTTTTTTTTGAAACAGAGCCTCAAGCTGTCCCCCTGGGTAGAGTGCTATGGCTTCACTGCTCACAGCAACCTCCAAGTCCTGGGCTCAAG